GTCCCGCCCCTTTGTCATCCTCACTGCCACACCTGGGGCTGTCCCGCATGGGAGGGGAGAGAAGGGCGGGTGGAGCCACAGGCTGGCGCGCGGGGAGAGGAGGCGGGGCGAGCTGGGGGGCGGGGCCGGCGCGAGCAGGAGGGCGGGGCCGGCGCCAGCCGGGGGACGGTGCCCGCGCCGGTTCGTGGCGCTTCGCTCTGGACTCTGGGGTTCTTTTGAGCTGGTTTTGATTGCGGGTTTTGGGGGACTGCACACACCCTCCTCTGCTCACAGCCCCGCCCCAGCTCGCTGCACCCTACTGCACTCCCCGTACCCCTTACTCAGCTCCGCGGGGATTTGTGCCTCCTCTGAAGATGGCAAATGTCTGCAAAGCGAATCGGGAAGCCACTCCCAGTCTTTCTTTTCCAGCCTTTTCTGCCGAGCACCGCAGTGGTCGAAAAGGAAACCAGAAAAACAGGAAAAACAAAATCTAAATCGCACCATGCCAACTGCCAGCTCCTCCCGCTAAGTCCAGGCAGACTCCGCCCACCGCCAGGCCCCAAGAGCAGGGCTGCACAGAGCCAAACCAGCTCCCGGCAGGCGCACAAGCGAGGAGTGAACGGAGGAGGCTTTAAGGAGCCTGAGAAAACACTCTAACAGAATGTCCTGTTACAAGAATTGCCTGACAAAATCGCTATGATGGATGTGAGAGAATGCTATGTTGTGGATCTTCTTAGATTCTTCTTAGATTTTCACAAGTCCCGGTCAGCTACCACAGATGACTGCACAGCACGGCTGCCCATAAGGCCTGGAATGAGGCTGTAAAAGACATCTGACTTGACACTTTTAAGATGCCATTCCGATGCATATCCAAGCTAGCGAGTCAAAGAACGGGTGGTATGGGCACTGGGCTGAGGAGTGCAGAGGTTCAAGACCCTAGGGATGATGCCTGGCATCTCCAACAAGCCCCTTTGAGGGCAGAAAGCAAAGACATTGTGATTGTGAATGGTAAGACACGGAACACAGACTAGACAAAGGACACGACACAGCTCTGCCCTGCACACCCTACTCCAGTGATGATGTCAGTTCAACACTATGATCCATTCACGTTTTCACTGCTGTCCCATAGCCATGTTCTGGAAAAAATGGGAGGTGGACTGGTGGGGTGGCAGAGGAGCTGAATCTGCAGGGGTTGATGCTGACATCTTCCCAGAGGGAGGCAAAATGGCCAACTTCCAGTGGGGTGCCCAGGTTTTCCTGCTGAAACCACGCTTCACAGCGATGACATGGTGGGTATAGAATAACAACTTGGTCATGCTCACGCAACGCTGAACTCCACCCCATCTCTGTGACCAGGACGATCCCTTGAGTGGTTAGCTTGACACATTACTTGTTGTTGTACAATCAGGTTACTCTGCACGTTCAGTTATTCAACCCCCAGTGAAAAAGGCTCTCTAAAATCTCTGAATTACTTAAGGAAATGACACCATTTTCACTGATGTAAAGTATCATTTTCCAACTTTGAGGTGAGAACAGTTGTGCTGGTTTAAAGGTAAACCGGCAGGAGAAATGAACCCAACTCAAAAAAGATCAGAATCACAATTTAATAACAATAATAAAATAAATACAATTATACAGACAAACAATTGGTTTTAACCCACAAAACCCAGACGTATAACCCAGCACCCTGGGGCACGAACAGAATGGTGTTCGTTGGCCCCCGTGCTGAGCCCCACGTGGTCCCCCTGAGTCCAAAGGAAAAGGAAAGGAAAGCCTGTTGGTGAGAGTGCTGGTCACAGTCTGGTCGAGGGTGGTGATCACAGTCTGGTTGAGAGTGGCGATCGCAGTCCGGTCGAGGTTCTGGTCCTCCTCTGGATCCGACGAGTGGGCCCAGAAGTCCCAAGACCCCAAGATTATATACCCTCAGGTTCAAGTGGAAATGCCCAGTACCTCCCCCAGGGTGGAGAGTTCCACAATGGGTGATTGTGAGTCCTGAGATATTTTTGGAATCCTTGGTGGCCCATTAGCAGACATGACCCCTCAGGCTGGGTGTGGAGGTGCTGGTGACTCCCCAGAGGGGAGTCATCACACCTGAGTCATTGGTGTGAGGATAGGAACATCCTCCTATCTCACAGGCTTCTTAACACGCAGCTTATAGCCTGAGGGGTCAGGTGTGCTCTGGGCAGCTGCTGCAAGTGGTCTATTGTTAACAGTTCCTGGGAAATGACATAGAGGGTGTAGAATACACAGTTTGGGTTACACCCACACAGTGATGAACTGGTCTCAGCTGCTCTAACTAGGACAACTGTACAGATAGCTGAACCCACAGACTGTGAACTGATCCCACAGAACATGCTGGTGCCAAGAGTTTTTTTAAAGACTGTAGTTCAACAATGCCCATATCTTTCTCAATACCCCAATTAATGGATATTTTTTAAAAACTGGTTTGTCACCAGTACTATCAACTACAAAAAGACAACAAAATTATTTTGGCCCAGTCTGATTCTAGGCCTCTTAGAAAAAAATTACCCATGAATGTTTGCTTCCATTATCTTTCATCCTTTGTGTAGGCTGGCCACGCCTGAGAAGAGCTGGGCTGCCGGTCCCAGGTGTAGCAGTAGAATGC